TTTTGTCTCATTCAGATGATTTTTTTAAAGGTGTGCAGTACCATAGGTGATGTTGTTGTTGTTATTGTTATTTGCTATCGAGTCGGCCCCGACTCATAGCGACCCCTCCTTGGGTTTCCCAGGCAGTATCACTACGGAAGTAGGAATGCCCAACCTTCCTTTCGAGGAGTGGCATTCTTTTATGAGTTAACCTGTTATGTAGCTAAAGGGTGACCTCAGAGGACAGTTTTAGTTCAAGGTTTAAAGAGAATCAAAGTGATAGTCTCAGGGAATCCCCTAGTCTCAACTGATTGAGTAAGTCTGGAATTTTTTTAAAAATTGTGTTTTGTTCCGTGTATTTCTCCCATTCTATCAAGACCCATCTGTTGTGGCCCTGTTCAAAACGACTGATAGTGGTAGCTGGTCACAGGGTAGATGAGGCCATCATTCATGTAGATTGTTAGTCCTACCAATCAGTTCTTTCTCTGAGTCCTTGGTTTCCTTCTTTCTCTTTAGCTCCAAGTAGAGACCAATAGTTTTTCCTTAGATAGCCACTCGCAAGCTTTTATGACTACAGATGCTACTCACCAACTAGGATGTAGAACACAATCTGTATGATCTATGTTATGCCAAATGACCGAATTGTCTCATGAGACTATGGTCCTAAGCCTTCAAACCCAGAAAACCAGTCTTGCAAGGCATTTGGTTTTGCCTAAGAAATATTTATAACTGTGTACTCTACATGCTTTATCATATATACAGATGTACATGCATGCACACATACATATATATAGACTCATGCATAGAAATACATATATATGTGCATACACATGTACATTCACATACATAATGAGGCTCACATATGCTATACACATATGTAAGTTACCCCACACATATTTTTTGGTGGTGGTGGTCTTGTTGCAACACTATGTATGTTATATCCTTTATCAAAAATGCCCCTTTGTCTTATGGACTTCTTAGTAACATCATTTACCTTGATCAAGCTGTACAGTCTTTGCCCACATTCAGTGTTACTTTTCCCATTAACACTACTATCTAGAGAGGGATTAATGCCTCTCCCCAACATACTACCTATTCCTAGTAACTGTTACTGAACAGTGGTCTCTGTATACCTATTCTTGTCTTATAAAAGTAAGATAATACAATATTTGCCCTTTTGTGATTGGCTTCTAGGCAAACAAAGATAGGCATATGAGCTGAACATTTACATTAGGTAGATACAATCCTTGGAGAGAGAGATCAATCATGGGCAAATAGAAGGTCTGTGTATGCACAGGGAGACAGATTGGGGGGCAGGAGTGCATGGGAGAGAAGGACACAGAGAAGAGGTGGTTATGGGGAGGAAGTGGGATGAGAGCTGTTTTATTGTGGGAGATTACAGTCAATGTCTAAGACAAAGTGTATGTAAACTGCTGTATGGAAGATGAATTTGCTCTGTAAACTTTCACCCAAAACACAATAAAATTGAAAAAAAAAAAAAGAAAGAAAGAAAGAAAGCCAGCTCACTTGCCAACTTCTTTCTTAAATCAATTTTATGTGCTCTGTTCATGTTCCATCCTTCCATAGCACTTACATAAATGGATTTTAAAGGTCTACTGACTTGTTTGTCTCCCAAATTAGAGTAACAATTCCCTAAATGTATAAAAAACCAAACCCACTGCCATCAAGTCAAGTATGACTCATAATGACCTCCACTGAGTTTCCAAAGTGGTAGACCAAATTTGTCCATTCTCTACAACTAAGACATTAGCATATAGTAGGAACTGAGTCGTTATCTGATGAAGGAGCATGTCTAGGAAAATTAGAGTGCTGGTAAGCATAAAGGAAAAAGGAAATAAGCATATAGATACAACAGAAAGATGGAAGAAAGTTCATCTTAACAAGACTTTGGAACGCTAATGGAGAAAAGAATGAAGAAACTGATAAAGGAAAAAATTATTAGAAATTCAGAGCATGAGGGTGCTGTGGCATGCAACTCAGGTATGGAGAAATGATCCCCTGGTCATCAAATATTTTCTACAATTCTCAAAAGATGCCTCATGTTCTTCTACTTTCTTGCTTTAGTGTTTTGTGTTTCCATGGTTGAGAATACTCTCACATCTTGAACTTCTATTTGAACATCTACTTATGCATGTTTAAAACATAGATCAAACATCACTGTTCATATTAAATGTTCATATTTGTCCACAAATTTCACAGATCAAATATTCCATGAGCCCATCCCTAATCTTTTATTTCATTGACATCTCAGTGATTTTTCACATTATGCAGCCTGAAGACCATCAGAATAAAATTACACGATGGAGTAGTACAGTGTAGTAAATTACTTAGTATGGCTTTTCTACCCATAAGTCATTGTAAACTCAGTGGTGGAATGAGCAACTGAGGAGCTCCTGATTGTAAATGTTATCTACCTGAGCTTTTCTGTTGGGCGTGGCACAATGCAATGTTATGGGAAGCTCACTCTCAGGTGCTTAGAATTCTGTTGTTATGATTGGTTGGTTTGGCCACCCTGTCAAGCTCAAAAGGAGGCCTCCTAGAGGCAGAACTCTCTCTGATGGCTGGTTGAGGAAGAAGTGCTGCTGAACGAGACATGCGTTGCTGGGAAAGAGACGCAAGAGACATGCATTGCTGAGTGAGACACCGAGGGACCAGCACTGCTGGGAAAGAGACTGTTGGCTGAGGGACGGTGGGCTGGGACAGAGACTGAGCATTTTCCCTGAACTTGAATTGTAGCCTGTGGTGCTTCCCTAATAAACCCCATAATCTGTGAGCTCTTTGTAGCCACTTCAGCGAATTATCGAACCCAGGAGAGAGGTGGTGGGGGCTTTGGGAGGAACGGTTGGTGAAAGGGCTGGAGGGAGGCAGCATGTCTGGCCTTGCAGTAATAGGCCTTGGGCTATTGATGACGATTCTGCCTTCCTCTTGTGGGGTTCTAGGAGGTCAGAACATGTGGCCTCCTTGTCCTTTTTGCAGGTAGTATTTATGGTAAGTTTCTTTCTTTAGACATATTCCGTACAATAAATGATTTTTTTTTTTATTAAAGATAGAACTAGAAACAGCATCATTTCCAACTCAAAATAAAGGAAGGATTTAATCATGTGATTACTGATGGTTCCAAAAATCATGAGTGAAAAAATAAATTAGGGAGATGAATGGATTAGACTGGTATCTGAACCCACTGATCGAACATAGCATCGTAAGAAGAGGGACAATCTAACATCATACATCTCCTTATGGAAGCACACAATAACCTATATAATATAGTCTTACTAAGAAAAAGAAAAACAACTAAATTTTATTAAATTTTTAAACGTATCAACCATCTTAAAGGAAATATATATAGAATATAGAAGGAAATGTCAAAAGACAACACTAGTTCATAATAAGGAAAATATCACATGGGATAAACAACCCAGTTTCACCAACAATTAAATTTCAAAAGTAAAATTAAAAGGAGAGAAACCTATATCTTAAAGAAATATTCAAAGAAAATTAAAAGACATCTCAGTGAGAAGTGTGGATATTTTTACATCCTGACTTGAAAAAGACCAAATTTACAAATCATTATGTGACAGCTGGGGAAACAAAGCAATTTTGTGCTATGAAAGCATTACTGTTAAGTTTTAAGTGTGCTAATGGTGTTGTGGCTATGATATTTAAGCATCCTGATATCTTGAAATATTTTTGGATTGAATTATATGATGTCTGGGGTTTGCTTCAAAATAATGCGGTGGTGATGGTGGTGGAGGGTAGTGAAGATGGTAGAAAAGAAACAAGATTGATCATTGTTGAAGCTTGATTAGAGCCACATAGAAGGTTATTTTTACTTATGTTTGAAGTTTTCTATTTTATATCATTTTAAAATGTAGGTTTTTGGACCTCACCACAGGTCTATCCAGTTAGAATATTCATGGGAAATTCTAGAAATCTGCATTATTAACAGTTTCCAGGTGGTTATCACACACTAATATTTGGAAATCACAATCTTAAAACATTTTATCCTATTGATCTTGCACTAGTCAGAGAAATACGGTCAGTTATACACGCCTGTTATCAATAGTGAGAGAAGCTGTATTTTCATGAGCCTTGCATCACCCAAGACAATATATTTAGCGTGCACTCAATAAATAATTGTGAAGTAGTGAAAATATTTACTTTTGTTTACTTGGAATAAATATTTTAGAGATAAATTATACAAGACTTGCCCACAGATTCCAAGATGTTAGGACCATTTGGTATCAGAAGTGTGCACCTTCTGTAAGTTGTTAGTAATGATCCTCTGACCACATGGAATTTCTTTCTCATTCTGTGTTATTTAATACTCTGAATTCCTTAATTGACAGTAACATCATATTTTAACCAGAAAGGATGAGAACAAGTCTCCTCTCCTACACACCAATGGAAGTAGGGAAATTAGCAGCCAGGGGTAGAGTATCTACTCTGATAATACAGATACATATGATCTCTTAAGGAAAAGAACTGATATATTTCCACTTACTAACTATATCACTCTTTTTCTTTCCCATTCTGAATTTGTTTTGCAACATTTCATTTATTGATTAACATCTTGACTCTCCTAAGTGGATATTCTTTTATTGAGACTTTTTTCCCTAAAGATCTACTCTTTCCTACATATTGGAATCTTTGAAAGAGCACCGTAATAGGTCTGTCCTAGCATAAATCTTAGGATCTAGTTCCGCCACTAATTAAGTAGGAGGTTTTGAATATAACACCGTGTTTCCTGGGTCCTGGTTTCCCCAAGTATTATAATTCTAAAATGAATAAGTCAGTCTACTCTTACTCATCTCTAAGTTCACCACCATTTTTATGGCACTTAGAGGAAAAACGTATTTTCACTTAGTGTTTAAACAGAAAAAAAGAAAAGATATAGACTCACCTCAGAGTCTTAGATGACAATAAATAAAGCCAAATTCATGCAGTTCTGTTCTTAAGCTATAAATCCAGGAATGTGAAGGATTTTTCCAACTTTAGCTTACCTGCTTATGAGCATGATCGTAAGAATTAATGTGATTGTCAAACTCCTGGTGTTTGTGATACTGCTTGTCACATAATTCACAGTAAAAGTTTGCCTTGACATCTTCCAGGGCCTTTGCTGTGGCCTTCTCCTTTTCTGCAAACTCCTTAAAAGGAAAAAAAAGAAAAAGAAAAAGCCAACGATGTTGGTTATATTTCTAATAGCATAGCCATGGTTCCATGTTAAGCAAGCTGCTAATTAATTTTATTCTGACTAAACGCATATGGTGAAGCTGATTACTTTTCCTAGAAATCCATGGTATTGTGGAAGTAACCTTTAATATGTCACTATCCCTAACTTGTCAATGAAAGCCTGTGAGTATTCCCACTGGAGTACTCTCCTCCAATCTAGTGTCACTCATCCTTCCTCTTGCCACTGATTTTGAGGTTGTGGTTCTGCTAACTCATCACCATATCCCCTACCTATTCAGTGCCTCGTCTCAAACACAAGCCACACTGTCTCCTTGAAGCACCTCTCTACCCTACTATTTTTCTGGGACCTTGGTTATATTGTTTTGTATTATTGGCCTATTTTATATTATTTGTAATACAATATTATAAACAGATGTGGTGGCACAGTGTATAAGGCATTTGGCTGCTAACCAGAGGTCAGTGGTTCAAACTCATGAGCTGCCATGGAAGGAAGATGAGGCAGTCTACTTCCACAAAGATTTATAGCCTGTGGGAGTCACTATGAGTTGGAATCTACTCATTTGCTGTGGGTTATAGAACTATATTATATTAACCTGTTATTCATCTATATTGTTTATATTATTCACCTTTTGCTTCATGTACTTTGCCTCAGTGCAACCTTCAGTGTTGGGACTTGCTATTCTTTCTGCATGTAATGCCTTTTCCCACCTTATCATATTGGTCAGTTACTGTTCTTTTCCAACACCTAGCCACTCACCTCCTCTGTGAAGTCCTTCCTATGACTTAACCAGGAAGAGACAGTCTCAATTATCACACTATCATGAAGCACATCTCTCAACATTCCTACTTTGTCTTCTTCATAGGCTTCTCTTTCTTTATACAACCTCCAGAGGTGACCTCTTTTTTTTTTTTTCTCCCCACACTTTTATTGTGATGAAAATATACACAACCAACCATTCGCCAACATAACAACTTCCACATTTACAGCTCAGGGACACTGACAACATTTTTCCTGTTGTGCCACCATTTTTACTACCCTTTTCCAAAATATTCCACCACCATCAGCTTATATGGAACACCTCGCAAACAAAAGCTTCCCTTTTCCCTAAGGTGACCTCTTCACACTGTAGCTACAGCCTCGTGTATCCATAATCTCCATGAAGCGTCAGTTCCTGCTGGACACTACTATTAAGTTTATCTTTTGTTCTTTATAATTAATATCTTTACAATATTTGTTATGCTCTGTCTCAGTTTTAAACATATCATTCCCTTGCTTAACATTTTCTTTAGATCTCTTATTGAATATAAATTATGTGCTAGGTATTAGGGTAAATATATGAATTATCTAATACATTTCTCACAACACTATACATAAGTTCTATTTTTATCTGCATTTTACAGCTGCATTAAATAAAGCTTAGAGAAGTCATTCAATCACAGTGACTGAAGCTGGTAAATGGTAGGGAAAGGATTTAAATTTATGCTTAGTGAGTGCCTTTATTAATACACAGCTGTGGTCTACCTTATCTTTAAGGGCAACTTTCTTATGACATACAAATTCCTTAATTAGACTTCTTAATTAAACTACTGACTACTTCCTAGCCCCTTTTCTTACCAATGCCTGTTTCACAATGAATGTGTAGCAATAACACAATGCTTATAGTCTCTGAATAAACATCTTTATTTTTTGTAACAGTTGCCTTTTTTTTTTTTTGCATATAGATTTTCTCACCCCATTAATCACCTGGCAAATCTAATCTTTTTTTATGATTCAGCTTATCATTAAACATTCCCAGAAATCTGTTAATGAGCCTTGGCACTCCTATACTGGGTTATTGAACCCTTTCCCGTGCTCCCATTTTACCCTGTTTAATTCTATCACCAAACACGCCATGCGATATTAAACAAACTGTTTGCATGTTTACTTTTCCAGAAATCCCTTGTGGGAAGGAACTCTTCTATTATTTTTTGGGTCTACAATACCTAACATATTGCCTAGGGCAGAATGTCCTTTTTGTTAAGTTCTATCAAGTCAGTTCCGTCTCATAGAGACCATATGTACAAAAGAGTGAAACACTACCCAGTTTGTACCAGTCTCACAACTATTGCTGTTTGAGCCTTTTGTTGTCGCCTCTGTGTCAATCCATCTCATTGAGGAGCTTTCTCTTTCTTGTGACCCTACACTTTGCCAAGCATGATATTCATCTCCAGAATACTTCTCACTTATTATGGACATAACCTGATAACACGTTCAGGGTAAGTGAGAAGTCTTGCCTTCCTTCTTTCTAAGGAGCATTCTGGAGTACAGCTTCCAAGATAGATTTGTTCATTCTTCTGGCAGTCCTGGGTATAGTCAACAATCTTCGCAAACATCATGATCAAATGCATCAATTCTCCTTTGGCTTTCTTTATTCATTGCCCAGCTTTTGCATGCATATGAGGGAGCCTAGTATAGATGCCTATTTAATAAGCAGACTAATGGGTATTGTTGTTAGGTACTACTGAGTCAGCTCTGATTCACAGTGACCTGATGTACAACAAAACAGAACACTGCCCAAACCTGTACCATCCTTACAATCTTTCTATGCTGGAGCCCACTGTTGCAGCCACTGTGTCTATCCATCTTGTTGAGGGTCTTCCCTATTTTCACTGACCTGCTACTTTACCAAGCACAATATCCTTCTCTAGGAACTGATCCCTTCTGACACCATGACCAAAGTAGGTGAGACAAAGTCTGGCCATTCTCACTTTTAAGGAGCGTTACAGCTGCACTTTCTTCAGGAAAGATTTGTTCATTTTTCTTGAGTCTAAGCTATTTTCAGTATTCTCTGCCCACACCACAATTCAAGGTATCAATTCTTTGATCTTCCTTATTCACTGTCTAGCTGTCACGTACATATGAGGCAACTGAAAATACTATGGCTTGGGTCAGGCACGTCTTAGTCTTAAAAGTGACATCTTTGCTCTTTACTACATTTAAGAAGTCTAACAGCAGATTTTCCAGTGAAATACATCATCTGGTTTCTTGACTGTTGTTTCCATGAGCATTGATTGTGGATTCAAGTAAAATGAAACTCTTGACAACTTCAAACTTTTCTCCATTTATCATGATGATGTTTACTGGTCCAGTTGTGAGGATTTTTGTTTTATGTTGAGGTGCAATCCATAATGAAGACTAGTCTTTGATTTTCATCAGTAAGTGCTTCAAATCATCCTCACTTTCAGCAAGCAAGGTTGTGTCACCTGCATATCTCAGGTTGTTAATGAGTCTTTCTCCAGTCCTGATGTCATGTTCTTCTTCCTGCAGTCCAGCTGTCAGATTATTTGTTCAGCATAGAGATTGAATAAGCATGGTGAAAGGATACAACCCTGATGTAAACCCTTCCTGATTTTAAAGCATGCAGTTCCCCTCTTCTGTTCAAACAGCAGCCTCTTGGTCTATGTACAGATTCAACATGAGAACAGTTAAGTGTTCTCAAATTCTCATTCTTCATAATTTATCCATAATTTGTTATGATCCACAGAGTTGAATGCTGTCACATAGTCAGTAAAACACAGGTAAACATCTTTCTGGTATTCTTTGCTTTCAGCCAAGATCTACCTGACATTAACAATGGTATCCTTTGTTTCACACCTTCTTCTGACTCTAGCTTAAGTTTCTGGAATTGCTCTGTCAATATCCTACTCCAATTGTTTTTGAATGATGTTCAGCAAAATTTTAATTATATGCGATATAAATGATATTGTTCAGTAATTTCTGTATTTTGTTGGATCACCTTTTGGAATGGGTACAAATATGGATCTCTTCCAGTTTGTTGGTCAGTTAGCTGTCTTCCAAATTTATTGGCATAAATGAGTAAGCACCTCCAGTGCTGCATCTCTGTGTCGACACATCTCTATTTGTATTGCATCAGTTCTTGGAGCCTTGTTTTTTCCAATTCTTTCAATGCACCTAGGACTTCTTCCCTCAATACTACTGGTTTTTGATCATATATGGCCTCTTTAAGTGGTTTAATGTTAACCAGTTCTTTCTGGTACAATGACTCTGTGTGTCCTTTCCATCTTCTTTTGAGGCTTCCTGCATCATTTAATATTTCGTCCATCGAATTTTTCCATATGGCAATTCAAGACTTGCATTTTTCTTCAGTTCCTTCAGCTTAAGAAATTCTGAGTGTGTTCTTCACTTTGGGTTTTCTGACTCCATGTCTTTGTACATTTCATTATAATACTTTACTTTGTATCCTGAAACTGGCCTTTGAAATCTTCTCTTCAGCTCTCTTTTATCTTGTCATTTCTCCATTCACTTTAGCTACTCTCTTTTCCATATCAAATTTCAGTCTCTTCTGACATCCATTTTAGTCTTTCCTTCCTTTCCTGTCTGTTTAATGACCTTTTGTTTTCCTCATTCATGATATTTTTGATGTCATACCACCACTTGTATGGTCTTTGGTCAGTGATATCCAATGCATATCAAACCAATTTTTAGATGGTCTCTAAATTAAGGTGGGATATAATCACTTTGGCTCTAGTGGATTTGTTTTAATTTTTTTCAGCTTCAACTTGAACTTGCATATGAGCAATTGATGGTTTGTTCCATAGTCAATTCCTGGCCTTCTTTTGACTGTTGATATTAAGCTTCTCCAATGTCTCTTTCCACAGATGTAGTCAATTTGATTCCTATGTATTCCATCTGGTGAGATCCAGATGTATAGTCGCTGTTTATGTTGAAAAAAGGTATTTGCAATGACTAAGTCATTGGCCTTGCCAAATTGCATCATGTGATCTCCATTGCTGTTTCTATCACCAAGGCCATATTTTCCAACTACTACTTCATTTCCAACTTTTGCATTCCAATCACCAATAATTATCAATATATTTCAACTGCATATTTTTTCAACTTCAGACTGCAGAAGTTGGTAAAAATATTTAGTTTCTTTATCTTTGGCTTTAGTGGATGTTGTTGTTATATGCCGTTGAGTAGGACCCAACTTATAGAGACCCCTCCTTGGGTTTCCAAGGCAGTATCACTATGGAAGTAGATTGGCCCATCTTCCTTCCAAGGAGTGGCTGGTGGGTTTGAACCACCAGTCTTCTGGTTAGCAGTCAAGTGCCTTAGCACTAAGCTACCAGAGTTCCTTTTAGTGGATAGTGTGTAAATTTAAATAATAGTTGTATTAACTGGTCTTCCTTGTAGGTATATGGATATTATCCTATCACTGACAGCATTGTATTTCAGGATAGATCTTGAAATGTTCTTTTTGACAAAGAATGCGACTCCATTCCTCTTCAATTTGTCATTCCCAGTATAGTAGACTACATGATTGTCTGACTCAAACTGGCCAATATCAGTCCATTTCAGCCTAACTTAGCTTAGGATAAGGAACTCTGGTAGTATAATGGTTAAGGCACTGGCTGCTAACAAAAAGATCAGTGGTTTAAACCCACCAGCTGCTATGTGGTAGAAAGATGAGACAGTCTGCTCCTGTCAAGATTTACAGCCTATATCCAATGGAAGTTGCTACAAGTTGGAATCAACTCGATAGCAGTGAGTGAGTGAGTAATGCCTAGAATATATCTATCGCTTTGTGTTCCATTTCATTTTTCACAACTTCTAATTTTCTTAGATTCATACTTGCTACATTCCACATTCCAATTATTAATGAATGGCTGTAACTGTTTTTCTCATTTTGAGTCCTGTCAGATCAGCAAATGAAGGTCCTGAAAGCTTTGTTCCATCTATGTCATTAAGGTTGACTCTGCTTTGAGGAGGTAGCTCTTCACCAGTAATATTTTGAGTGCCTTCTGACCTCAGGGGCTTATCTTCCAGCATTGTATCAGACAGTGTTTCACTGTTATTCTTAAGGTTTTCAATGGTCTTTTTTTTTTTTTTTTTTTTCTTTTCAGAAGTGGATGGCCCCATCCTTCTTCCAATCTGCCTTAGTCTGGAAGGTCCACTGAAACCTGTCCACCATGGGTGACCCTGCTGGTATTTGAAATACCAGGAGCATAGCTTCCAGTCTCAGAGCAACATACAAGCTATCACAGTATAACATACTGACAGACAAGTGATGGAATGCGTGTGTTTATCTTACATATTAATACCTCCTAAGTTTTTCTCTATTATCCCATTGCCTAACTAAAAGTGTGCTGGGCACAGTGTGGATATCAAAGAAATATGTCAAAGGATTGATAAACAAACCAACAGGTAGATTTTGGCTTTCTCTCTCTGAAAAGATTAGCCTTTCCCCCCCCCCCCCAAAGCTTTCTCTCTTTGGAAAGAATTCAGGCCACAGCACAAATCAAGCATTAGGAGTGTTTACCTTCTGAGTTATTAGCAATGATCCTCAGACCACATGGAACTTCTTTCTCAGTTTGTGCTATTTAATGCCCTTAATTCCTAAATACCAAAACCAAACCCACTGTCATGTAATCAATTCTGACTCATAGTGACCCCCAGTGGGTTGCCAAGGTGGTAAATCTTTACAAAAGCAGATTGTTTCATCTTCCTGCCATAGAGCAGCTAGTAGGCTTGAATTGCCAAACTTTTGGTTAGCAGTCAAATGCCTTAGGCACTGTGCTACCAAAACTCCTTTAATTTCTAAATAGGCAGGAACATAAGACTGGAGGAGAGCTGAATCTCCACTCCTGGTAGGCTTAGAAACAGAGGAGAGCATTATTGCTTTTCCAGGCTTTCCAGGATTATTCTCATGCCCGTTTTCTCCATAATTTCAGGCCCTAGATTGGAACCAGGAGATTCTTGGTTTACCCAGAGATGCTCTTAATATATTGTAATACTGGAGTAACAGGCTTAGAAAATGGATCATGGGTTTGGACTCTGGCTAACTCAGCCTCAGTGCTCAAGAGTGTTTTATCCTTACCAACGCAACTGTGGGG